AATATTTTCGAAGCCATATGCTTAAAGTAAAAGAAAGATACCTCTATTTAATTTTATGATCGCTCATCGTGTTGCTCATCGTTACAGCTAATCGCTATTGTGACCCTCTGAAAGCTAAATTGACAGGTTTTATATATCATCACAAACATTTTACCTTCTCTTCTTACATCTTGTAAATACGAATTATCATTAAAATGTGTCATAGCTTCATAAATCCGAAAAATAGCATTTTAGCTGTCATGAGCATTTGCAAGCTTGGTCAAAACCATAGGATTTATTGATCTAGATAAAAATAATTTGTCCACAATAGATCAGACACGAACCAATTCATAACTTTTGCATGCGGGGGGCTCATGGGTTAGCTAAATATATACCGCGAACACGGAGTCAGATGTCCGTAGTGTGCTTTGGACAGACATTTTATTGTTTTTGCTATGGTCATTCATGTCGGTTAGTCGGTGGTGACAGCTCATTCAAGCTACTTTCAAATTAGTGCCATATTTAAAATACGTTAAACACTACTGACATCTACTCATCCGATCGCGTCATACGGTCATACCATGAGCAAGGGCACGAACCCACGTATAATTTATATTGCCTTGGTATGCGTCTCACCTCGTTTGTCAGATCTTATCGCCCGTTTGAAAGTTCGAATCGCTCGTTTGACAATTCGAATTGTGGACAAACGAAATGCTCCTGTGACATGTCGGTTCGCCGGTGCAAATAGTACGTTCAAGCAAGGGGCTGTCAACTTGAGTATTTTCGATTCATCTACCCGACTTGAAAAGGTGTATTTTGTACTGTTTTGTATTTATGTACACTCATAAAATTCGACACATTTTTATTGGCGAATATCCATGTAAAATTCCACACATAAACATAATCCACTCAGAAGTACACATGAAATTTATGAGTCAAATGAATAGTATGTGTGGCTACACATGAATTTTATTTGTACACATAAGAAATTTGTGCCCGACACATATTTATCATTTCAGGCATAACATTTGATAACGGCACAAAAGCTTTTGTAAACAAACTTTTTAAGGCCCTTTACACGCGAACCAAAGTACGCCTACGCAAACCAATACCACTTTCGGAAAGGTGAGAGTTGCCCCTATCCGAAGATGTTGTTGGTTTGCGTGAGCGTACTTCGGTTCGCGTGTAAAGGGCCTTAAAAAGTTTGTTTACAAAAGCTTTTGTGCCGTTATCAAATGTTATGCCTGATTTGTTTATCACATTGCAAAAATTCATGTGTGGGACACATAAAATTAATCATTGAAATCTTATTAGTGTAGGGGAAATAGATGTAATGTCGGCCTAAATGGCCCTTATTTGAGCCCATACATAAATTCAGCAATCGACTAAATTTTTAATAGCGACCAAAAGTATCCATTAGTACCATAGAGGTAACTCTAAGACTAGAAGCTCCCTAAGAAACGTGCTAAACTTTTTGGCTCAGCTCTGGTACTATCTTCGGTCCCAAGCTAATCGATTCACCCCTCAAACATAGGAAAAACCACTAACCCCTCATTTTATCTGTCAAACTTTCATAGCGAATCAAAACAAACATTGTGTAGTACTAGAATGTTGACTAGAATGGGGAACGTTAATCGTTTGCTTGGGACCAATAGGCTAGTCAAGTAATGAGCCAATTTAAAATCGTTAGTTTCGTATTGATTGTTGTTAGTACCGTCCCAATGATGCGTTCATTTAGATAAAATTGATAAATAGCATGAATCCTGATGAATGTGGGCGTCTTAGTGGAATACCTGTATAATGAGAGAGAGAGAAGAATTAGTAATTTCCATTTAATTCCACTACCTTATTTGCTTATTCTTGACAGATACGCGTATTTCGTCTACAATGTGCAGACTTCTTCAGTGTCTTGTACTAATACTAGACTGAAGAAAAACATCGCATTTACCGAATATATATTACCACAAGTACATTTTCACTTAGGAACTGGGTAAACTTAAATTTAATTTTCCTGTAAATAGCAGATTTTTAGCGAAAGCAACTTTGAGCATGCATCTCACAACACTCGACAAAGAGTGTGTGGTTCTCCCATTTGCTTCGTACACTCTTTTCCAACTAATCTGTGAGAATGCGATCCACACAATGAGCGGTACACTCCGTGCGGCGCAGGGAGGGAATATAATACAACAAGCGCTAATGTCTTCTTTGAGTTCTTTGCAGACTTTGCTTACCACGACTGCATGGATAGGGATGAAGAAGGGCATAACAAAGAATAATTTTGCCTTTTGCTAGTTTTCCCATTTGCAACCCTACACTAAGTGGCGCTCTTTGCGCCGGAGCCGTCGGAGCAATGGCTACACATTGAGCTTTCGTTATTTCTGCGTGTGTGTCTGTCTTCTCTTCTCCGCTGCTTTACACTTGCGCAGGGTGAAAGACAAGCAACCTTTGTGTTTGCTTGATTCTCACTTTGTTTATTTCAGAAAATCAGTACATTGCGCGCAATAGAGTGATCAGATGACAGCCCTGCATAGAGGTAACTCTAAGACAAGTAGCAACAATCAATACGAAACTAACGATTTTAAATTGGCTCACCACTTTAGTAGCCTATTGGTCCCAAGCAAACGATTAACGTACCCTATTCTAGTTGAAATTCTATTACTACACTATGTTTGTTTTGATTCGCTATGAAAGTTTGACAGATAACATCAGGGGTGTGTGGATTCATGCAGAACATGCAGGAGTGAGTGAAATAGCTTGGGACTGCTTGGGACCGTTGTTCTGGTACTGAGTGAGCCAAAAATAATAATGATTTTCTTCGGGACCCAGTGGTCTTAGAGTTACCTCTATGCTAGTAGGTCCCGAAGAAACGTGCTCAACTTTTAGCTCAGCTCTGGTCCCAAGCTAATCGATTCATACCTCGAAACATAGGAAAATCCACTAACCCCTCATTTTATCTGTCAAACTTTCATAGCGAATCAAAACAAACATAGTGTAGTACTAGAATTTCGACTAGAATGGGGTACGCTTATAGATATACTTGGGACCAATAGGCTAGTCAAGTAGTGAGCCAATTTAAAATCGTTAGTTTCCACCGGTTGGCGAGCCAGTTGGTCGAATTGTCGATTCCAAACTGTTTCGCGATCCACCTCTGGGACTGGCCTGGATTTTCCACGACCGCTCCCATAATTTTTTGACGAAGCACTTTTTGCTTGGAAGCCATCTCGATAACCACTATTGACAGATTGTGACGAGATTTTGCAGTTCTACTCAAAATTTCATAAATTTTTACCCATGTAATAAAAAGTTTTACGCAAAAGAACGTGTTGCATTTTTTACGAGTACAATCTTTAAGGTTCAATTGCTAAAGTCTTTTTGATATACCGCCCTCTTCGAGGTCCTCTTAAGGTTCAATTTACTTTGTTGCTTTTTCAAAAAATTCAAATGCTGTTTTTTTTTTCGACGCATTATTTCAGATTGCAAAAAGGTCACGTCATTCTATTATTTTTGCTATTTTACACAAAATGACTCGAGCTTTTTGCAATTTGAAATGATGCGTTGAAAAAAACTGCATTTCAATTTTTTTGAAAATGCAACAAAGTAAATTGAACCTTAAGAGGACCTCGCAGAGGGCGGTATATCAAGAAGACTTTAGCATGCAAAAATGTTAGAGAAAAAAATCGGTTCGATGAATAATCAAGATTGCAAAAATTGCCTTGGGTCATATTGACCCCAAGATACAGACAAAGGATTAAATATCGTTGATCCAGAGTTCGGTGAAAGTGGACCACCTTAAGAAAATCATCACTATTCATGCAAAATTCAGTGGAAAATTCGAATGATGTTTAACCAAAAGGATAGCGGCGCCGGTGGTACAGTGGTAAGCGTGATTGCCTCTCATCCCAAGAGGCCTGGGTTCAATCCCAGTCGGCGTCGCCGGGATTTTCTGTGGCACGCCTTCCTTCGGAGGGGAAGTAAAGCCGTTGGTCCCCGGTCCATGAGTTGATTGGTCGATAGGTAGGGTTCAGCAGTGCGAGCTACCTCTGTCGGTAGATTATCTGTTAGGAAACACAATAATGTATAGAAATAAACCTCAAAAATACAGTTTTAACTGATAGTACTTTATAATACATTAAGCATTGGCGTAGCTAATGGGGGTGTCAGGGGGGGCCATGCCCCCTCCAGATAAATTGTCTAGCTACGCCAATGTCATTAAGCCAACCCATATTGGACCCTGCCTACCATGGGCGCCTGCACAGAAATGTGGGCCATCAGTGAACTACTTCTCAAACTGAAGCGATACATTTCTCAACGTTTCAACTTTACTAACGTAAACTTAATATTATCACCCATATGTCCGTTCACATCCGCAGCCCACCCCTCACACAAAATCAAATAAAAAGGTTTCTGTATGACAAACACGCCCGGACATAAACGAGAATATGGGTATACATCTTCCCTATGGCAACAACGGGTAATCACCGAAAGTACTTGCATTTTACTCAGGCACTTTTGAGCAAACTGCCACACCCTCTCATACTCGAAATGTGCCACGACCAACCTGGCACATCGATGCTCTATACGCGCAGGGTTATTCAAATAAATGCGTTATGCTATAAAAACTTAGAACACCCTATCGTAAAGCATAAAAAATTGCCTTAGAAAAATAAGTATAAGCTTTAGCCTTTTATGAGAAGGCATCAGGATTCATAAATAATGTCAAGCATCGAGGAGGAATATGCTTAATAAGTGCTATGACCTGTTGAACGCGTACCGGTCAGTGCTGTTATGCAATGCAAACTATGATCTGATCTAAACCCAACCTGGCTACACAAATATTCTGCCCAACATCACTAGCCTACCTACCGCATTTTGCCCCACCTTCCCCTTCTTTACATAAATGCAATCCAAAAGTCAATACATTTTCTACCCTGCTAGTCGCCTTTAGACCCCTTTCAGCTACACCAACGGATTGAGATTGAACCCTATAATATGGACGGTGATCAGGAGCACAACGGTAAGTATTTCTTAATTATTTGTATGTATTTATTACTACTTCAGTTTCTCTCACAAAGTATAAATTGTGATCTTTCTCTCTCATCAATGCTATCTCTTACAAAACTACCTTAAACGCGAAAGGCCCACTGCCATTATTTTTACCGTTGCTGCTTTCTTGTTTCTACACATCTTTCTGTAGATTTTCGATTGAATTTATTATTAAAATTCTAACTTCTCTTTAAACAGCAACGGATTGTTAGTGCGAATAGAAAATGCATGATCCTTTGATCGTTATGTTGCGTTAAAAATAATAATTATGTGTCGTCGGAAACGAAAAGAATAGACATTGTCTGTATCAAGTCCACCTCCGGCAGTACAAGTATGTAGCTTGAGACTGTGTCCTGACAGAGAAGGGATGAACAAATAAAAAAAAACGAAAAGCCAAAGATGGAAATGTCCCCGCTTCGCGTTGAATACCCCGGAGTTTATCGCGATTCCGGCTTGATCTTGGGTGGGTTAAAAGAGGTGTACTTGGTTTTTTTGGCCTTTTTCGGTTTGGTCGACGAAGTACCGGCCGCCTGAAAACTTTGCCAGCTGTTGACGCGGTTCTGACGAGATTCCTCAAAGTTTTTCTGCCACTCCTTCTGAAAGTTGCGTTGTTCTTCTTCTTCGATTTCCTGTTCACGTTTACGTTTCCTTTCTTCCTGGTCACGTAAATCTAGCTGTTGGCGCCGCCGTTCCATATCGGCAAACAATTTCATAACCATTACGTACACAGCATGTTTGTATTTGCCAGGATCATCCTCCGGTATTGCGTCGGATTTACCTTCCTTGCGGAGCTTTTTCCGCTTCTCCATAATCATCGCATCAGTACGCTCTTTCGCTTCCTCGTAAACTTCCAGGCATCGCTTCCGGGTTGGTTCATTCTCCAACGTCTTCCAGGCTTTGTTTACCACCTCGAATGCTTGCTGGGCTCGTTCCTGGTTGTCGGGATTCTTATCCGGATGGATCAGTATAGACAAGGTACGGTACTTTTTCTTGATCAGCTCAATCGGTGTGTCCGGTTCTAGATGCATCACCTCAAAGGGGTTCAGATTGAAGTACGTCGCACCGGGACGTAGCAGTCGATCGATCTGCTGCTGAGATGTGAGCACCGCGTCGCGCTTTTCGATTTCTTTCACCTGCAAACAAAAATAATTCCCCGGGAGTAAAATATACGCATTGGAAAGCAAGAGTAACCGAATCGTTATGGCTCACCTCGCAGTAAAAATCGTTGAATCGTTCTTCCTCGTGGTGGGAACTTTGCGCCATTGCTGGTTTTGGCTTGGGATATGAAGATTTTCCCCGGAAAATTCAGGAAAATCGCAATAAACTTAAATTGTTTTCTCCAGACCGAAGCAAAACATCACCAACTTGTCAAACAAAAAACTTGTGTCAGAGTAAAATGACAGCTCATATATCTCATGACTCATAGTATTTTTCACGTGTGAATTTTCAGGAAATTGAAAGGTTTTGAAGAAGAACACTCAAAAATAGTATTACCCGCTTTGTAAGATAAATTCAAAATTGACCACTTAGTCAAGCAGTTTTGGCGTGACTTTCTACCAGCGATTTCATAAAACTGGACCAAATAATTTCTATTTTTTTATGAAACACACAAATGTTGGGTACTTTTCTCGAGGTTCGAGAAGAAAAAATCTCAAAATAATGTTTTATTTCAAAGTTCGAGTGGTAGTAAACGTCATTTTAACATAAAGTGGCTAATTCGTATGGAATTTTCCACTAGATTTCTACCCAAAAGTAAGTTAGTTGTACCCATGGTGGGTATATAAATGGTGATACAGCTTTATCACTATATATAGGCGAGGAGGTCGCGGGGGGAGGGGGAAAGTGCGGTTTTAATGCAAATTGTAAACAAACTCGATCGCTGTCCCATGCAAAAATCCAACATGGCTGAATCATGAATTTGACACATTAGAACACCTATATGTAGTCACCTTGGTTGTACCCAAAAGTAGGTAAATATGATTATACCAAGACAAGTAGGTCCCGAACTCGGTCCCGAAGAAACGTGCTCAACTTTTTGGCTCACCTCTGGTACTATCTTCGGTCCCAAGCTAGTCGAATCACCCCTCGAAACATAGAAAAATCCAATAACCCCTCATTTTATCTGTCAAACTTTCATAGCGAATCAAAACAAACATTGTGTAGTACTAGAATTTTGACTAGAATGGGATACGTTAATCGATTTGCTTGGGACCAATAGGCTAGTCAAGCAGTGAGCCAATTTAAAATCGTTAGTTTCGTATTGATTGTTGATTATACTCAACGTTGGGTTCCCACACTTTACTACCCCTGTTGGGTGGTTTTGCTTCTCCGTTTTGGACAACATTATATTTATATTTATTTATTTGTTTAATTAATCATCTGACTGCTGTCTACATGAAATATCTTAAAAACTATACCTTCAGCGTTTCTAATACGAGTCAAAAAGCGAGCAGAAGGTTCCCCAAATTCAAACAATTCTTCAACAGCCGTGAACGTACGCATCATAGTTGTTAGTGGTTCGTTGTAACCGAATGCTGTTCGATGGTATCGTGGTTGGAGTAGGGTACCACTTCGTAATGTTCTCGGGGCACTCGGATGTCTAACAGCGAAAGAATACTCACGCAGTCAACATCCCCATTCAATAACTTGGCAACAAATGCTGCCTGTTGATTCTTCCATCGACGTTCCAGGGTTTCCAAACTCAGCAAATTGCAGCGATCAGAATACGGTGGGAGATTTTGCGGATCGCGCCACGGTAGGTTACGCAATGCCATTCTGATAAACTTTCGCTGAACACCTTCGATCCTCAAGTTCCAGGTCAACTGATGAGGAAACCAGACCAAGGAGGCGTTTTCCAGGATAGGTAGAACAAGGGAGCAATAAAGAGCTTTCAAGCAGTGTGGGTCAGAGAAGTCTTTTGATATTTTCGACACGAATCCTAACTGACGGTTAGCCTTGGTGATCACAGCAGTACGGTGGAGATTAAACGATAATTTATTATCTAGTAGAACGCCTAGATCGCTGAACTGGTCGGTTCTTTGCAGTACAACGGTATAACACTGTTAATGGCATAATCGCAAATAATCGGCTGCTTGATGCGGTAAAACGACATTATCATGCATTTTGGTATGCTCACGGTAAGCCTATTACGATTGCACCAACTAACGAATAGATCCAATAGCGATTGAAGACGAATACAATCCTCAGTACATCGCACCACGAAATACAGCTTTAGGTCATCGGCATACGCAAGCCTGCAACCATCTCCAACCCTAATAAAAAATAACCATAAACGAACGATAACCCAAATCATTGAACTATTCCACAAATGGTTTGGATGATACCCAGAACACGTCGTTAAGCAAATTAACCATACAATTTTTATTAGGGAAGTACAAGCAAAAGTATATACGTCGTTGAAGAATAAAAGAAACGGGCCAAGATTGCTACCCTGTGGTACGCCCGACGAGTTCGTAAAATACGAGGAAGTACTAGAATCAAGTTTAACCCGCAAAGACCTGCAAGTCTGGTACGAGCAAAACCACGATGTCAACCGATTTGATGTGCGGAGTTTGGATAGCTTAGCCAACAGAATATCATGGTTGGTCGTATCAAACGCTGCTTTTAGGTCCGTATAGATGACGTCTACTTGCGCCCCATTCTCCAGTTGTTCGAAAATCGTCGTGGTAAAATCCAGGAGATTTGTACATGGCGAATGAGAACGACTCAAATTCGAGTTTAGTTCACTCATAATCGCCAAAAGTGCAGGAACTCAGCGATGAGTAAATTTGCCTCATGTTTTCCCAGGTTTTTCCATGGAAAAATTCCCGAATTTGAGAAAAGTAAAGATTGGATTCACTCAGTCTATTGGTACTACTCCAAGACTGAATAAAATTTGCGTCAATTTCCTCATTTTCCGGTAGATTTTTCAGGTTTTCCACAGGAAACCAAGAGACAAATTTTACTCTTCGCTGAGTTCCTGCACTTTTGGCGATTATGAGTGAACTAAACTCAAATTTGAGTCGTTCTCATTCGCCGTGTAGTAACCGAACGTCCTGGTATGAAGCCATGTTGGTCGCAGGAGATGTAACATTTGGTACGTTCAAGAATTACCCCACTCACAATTATCTCAAACAGTTTTGAGAAGGAGAAAAGGAGACAAACTAGTCAAAAGTAGGTAAAAGTGAACTTGCCGTTGGGGACTTTTTTCTTACCGTGTAGAGGGCAGTATGAATTCCCACCTTTCTTGATAGTGTTATCCATGGTGGGTATATAAATGGTGATACAGCTTTGTCACTATATAGGCGAGGAGGTCGCGGGGGGGAAAAGTGCGGTTTTAGAGCAAATTGTAAACAAACTCGGTCGCTGTCCTATACAAAAATCCAACATGGCTGAATCATGAATTTGACACATTAGAACACCTATATGTAGCCACCTTGGTGTTATCTATATTCCCCTTGGCCGGTTCGATTTTATTTCCAATATTGTTTGGCATCACTGTGTGTATTCAAAACAAAAAATGTCAACATTCATCACAATGTAGAAAAAAAAAGAAAAACAAAAGAGAAGGAAAATTTTCACCAAAAAATAATTCAGTTTTATTGTGGAAAATCCGCATCCCAATATGGACAATGACGATCCTGTGGAGGAAGCATCGAATCAGCCCGCCGCTGCACCACTGGAAGTGCATCCTGCTGAACGTGACGCTGGACACAGCCAGAGATTGAACAGGATGCGATTCGTCCAGCCATCGATCCATCAAGAAGATGACAACGACGACGACGAAGATGAAGAACAAGAAGAAATGGAGGATCCTGCAGCTCCGGAAGATGTGAATCAAGCGAACGTTGGTCAGGATCCGGATGATTCTGACGTTAGCATCGTTGATGGGGGCAATTCTTCGGACGATCCTTCGAGCAATTCATCCGAAAACGGTCTGGATGATTCCGATGCGGATCGACTGTTTGATGATTACATTCACACTCGTGAACAACAGCAATCGACGGTTGCGGAAATTTACAACACAGAACTGCCTACGGAACATGCGGTAAGTGGGTCGGATCGCAAGCTGGTTTTTTATTTACGCCTTAATTTTGGATTTTGAATTTTTAGTATCTTGGAAAGTTGGAACGAGTAGAGGGAGTTGACTATTTGGAGCCAGGAAAGGTTTATCGTCTTCCGGTTTACAACCACCATTCGATTGTGTTTCCGGGTGAAATCGTGCCGTTGATCCTCAATGCAGCTACACTGAACTGTGACGATCCTTCCGATGGGGTTAAATTCGGATTGGTGTTTAGGACCACGTTCCCGAACAACTTTATCTACGGTGTCACTTGCCAGGTGTTTGAAAGGGGTGAACGGGACATCAACGGATCGATTATACTTAAGACCGTAGCCCAGCAGAGGTTCCACATTGTGCAGCAGGTTCCCAGCAGACGGGCGGATGTACTGATTTTGCCGGAGATAATTCTTCCGGATCCGCTGCTGAGTAGCTGTTCGAACCTGATGAAACGACACGCAGTCAGTCACAACAAAAAGTATTCGAATCGTTTCAAGTCTTTCGTTTCGCACGCAATGACGTGGCCAAAGTTTGTGTACGATCTATACGGCACCGATGACGTGCTGACCAAGGTGGATCGGTATCTAGCGTTTCTGAAGATAACGAGCGTGCCGAGCGATCCGGTAAAGTTGTCCTTCTGGCTGGCTAGGAATATTCCCATCGATGAACGGGACCGGAAGCTGATCTATCAGGCGGATGCCGTGATCAGCCGAATGTTGGTGATCAATAAATCGCTGGATCATGTATGGATGAGCTCTCATCAATCGACGGTGGGTTATTTGATACTAATCGAATTTGAAAAAAATCGTTTTCAGATGTGCTACTTCATTTGTAAACGATGCGCAAACGAAATTGGAAGCTACAACGACATCTTTGCGATGAACAAGCAGGGCGTTCAAACAAGTTACTGCAATCCGTCTGGATATGTTCATGAAACGCTAACCATTTACAAGACGAAGGAAAACTCCACCTTCACCGTTGACCGACCCTCGACGGATTTCAGCTGGTTTCCGGGGTACTCGTGGCAGATTACGGTCAGTTGAGAAACTTTTGAAATCGTTTGATTATCTTATTCATTCTTTGTTTGCCATCTAGCTTTGTGCGAACTGTCGGCAGCATTTGGGATGGAAGTTCGTAGCCACCAAGAACAATTATCTGCCGAAAAGCTTCTACGGCCTGTCGGGCAACAACATTCAGGTGAAATCGGTCGGCGAAAGCAATGCTGCCCGTACCGGTGCTAGCGACGATGACGACGAAGATGAAGACGAAGAGATGTTGCAACAGCAGCAGCAAAGACAGCAACAGCAGCAGCAGCGACAGCAACAGCGCCAACGGCAGCAACATCGGCGGCGGCGGCAAATGGCCGATGATGTCGACAACAGCGAAACCGATGAGGATGTCGATGTCGTGTACGAAGTGATCGACATGGATCCGGACCTGGCCAACGCTGCCGGTGCCGATGCTCCCGTACAAGTGGCCCCGGTTCTGCTATTGGAAAGAATCAACGATGATGTTGAGGGGGAGGAGGAAGAAGACGACGACGAAGAGCGATTCCAGGATGCGAGAGAGTAAACCGAGTAAACGCTCTGGCGATCGATTGTCTATTAGGTATGTAGAACTTGATTTTGTTTCTGTGAGCTTTTGTTTATTGGAGTCAATAGTGCATTTTTCTTATGCTGTATTCGTACCATGAAGCGCCGTGAAGGTTGTTTAAATTAATTAAAAATGCTAAATTGAAAATAGAATTACCTTGTGGGTTCTGTTTCTGTGCTAAAACATATCCAAATCGTTGTTGTTGTTTACATGTAAAGCAAAAATAAGGAAGTCGCAGACACAGGCAGGGTGGTCGTGAACGTCGTCACGAGCGAGCATAAATAATAATCTGTTTACGCGAGCATGCGCATTGGGCACGAAAATATTATGACAGTGATTACTTAATTTCACCACCCCGACATACATGCGTCAGCATACTGGAACGAAGGGCGCGTAAAATCCAATGAACCCTGTCCGCCGGTGTCTTATTAGCCTTTGTTTTCGACGACACCGAGCCAAGAGAAGACGTACTTAGGACAAGTTTCAGATATTAATGGGATCTCGATTAACACCCACTGCGATTGATTAGTGATGTGCTTTCGCCAGTTTTATTCCAGCATCAGGTTCAAGTGTTGGCATCAAGAGGGTAAGTATTTTTCCAGCCTAAGAATCGAACGTAGCTGCTCTGCTACGAAGAAAAGAAAGTAATACGCAATTAATTTATTTCTTTCGTCTCGTCCCCTGTGCTGGAGAAGATGATGAAAATGTCGAGCTTATGCATCAGGTATCGCTCAACGATCGTCATCATCTGCCAGCTTGCAACCAATCTTTAACCGGACCTTCATTTGGGGGTAGCACTACGAACGATGGGCTCCGGAATCGATTCAAATTGACTTACAATATTCAGCTCCCACCCGAGCACACCTACCTGGGAAAGCTCGAACGGGTGGATTCTTTGGAACGCTTTGAGCCAGGATCGATTCAGCGCATTCCAGTCAGTGGTCATCACTCGATCGTGTACCCAGGGGAGATTATTCCGCTGATTCTGACCAACTCATTGCTCGAGTTCGATGGCAGTGACAGCAATCGTATTGGATTGGTCTTCTGGGAACATCCGTACAGGAAGCGGATTTTCGGAGTTGTTTGTCAAGTGTGCGAGAAGGATATTCGAGACTCGGCAATGGTACTTAAGACCGTAGCTCAGCAGCGATTCGAAGTGGTTCCCCAGCCGGACGGAGCTTTGACGCGGTCGGTTCAACGTGAAGGACGAGCCCACTACTATGCGGAAGTGAAAATCCTCCCGGAAGTGCTGCTGCCCGACCCACTGACCAGCTACTGCACCAACAATGTGGTAAAGATCAACAATCTGGCCAGGAACCGCTTGATGGCAGCTCAGTCCAGCGTGTGGCCCAAGTTCGTCTACGACCAGTACGGTTCGAATGAGATACTCCACAAAGTGAGCCGTTTCCTGGAATTCCTTCAAATTGAATCCGTTCCGACGGCCGATCCTGTAATGCTGTCCTTCTGGCTGGCAAAGAACATTCCACTCAGCGAAACCGATCGCAAGGAGCTATTCTACACCAATTCTGTTCTGACCAGGATGCTGCTGGTCAACAATATCCTCGACTATGTAAGATGTTTTCGAATATTTATTCCTATATTAAACCTATCTCACCGTGTTCCCTTTCTTCGATTTTAGACTTGTGCATTTTGCTGCAGAAAATGCGATCGTAAGATTGCCAACTACGTGGACATGTTTGCCATGTCCAAACAGGGCGTCAGCAGCAGCTACTGTAACTCATCTGGATTCGTACACGAAACGCTGACTGTTTACCGCGTAATACCAAAGACAATCCGTACGACTAGCAAACCGTCTACTGACTTCAGCTGGTTCCCCGGATACTCGTGGCAGATTTCCGTAAGATTACCACAACCCAAAAAAGTCCGTCAAATGATCTTTTGCATGTCCTCCGCTCCCCCTTAGGTTTGCAACGCCTGCAACAACCACATCGGGTGGAAGTTTGTCACAACCAAACGGGGCTATAAACCGAAAAAGTTCTACGGTCTTTGCGGAAAGACCATCCGGGTGTCCTCCGACCAAAAGGTGGTTCCATCCGCCACCGAGGACATCGCAAAGATGATGCCGCCGAACCGATACAAGTAAAAGCAGATGTTGACCTGATCAAGCATAGGGAAACTACGAACTGAACGAGAGAACCGATAGACTGGCTGAATGGACAAATGAGATTTATTCCTCCCACTTGAGGTCAAGGGCTTAGTGCATTCTTCACCTTCTTATTACGATTGAAAAATTATATCTATATTAAATGTGTGTTGTTTTAGAAAAATTAACGATCAAATAAATGCTTTTGACAAATCTCTATCAGTAGTTTCTATTCTCTCACGATAGAATTCTTAACAATACACAATAATATGAAGAAGACAACGGAAGAAAAAAAATGACCTCGACCACCACCACAGATCAGTCTCGTGTTCGAAGGCCCCAGATCGAAGTACGGCGCGTTCCGACGGTTGGCCGCGCAACGGAACTGTGCATAAACTTGTTGATTCCCACACCGGGGAACGACGTCTGTAGCATGGCTACGGCTGGTTCCGTCAGGAGACCGAACACGTCCAGAAACTGCAGCGGCTCAAGTTCACTAAGTTGCCTGAAAGGTACATACATAGAATCATCCTGTTTTCAAAAATTGCCAATGCTATTATACTCACAGATACGACGTAACGTTGATATTGTAGCAGCGCGACAGGGAAAGATATTCTAGCTTTTTCAACTTGCAAACCGTAGTCATGGCTGTCGAGGACAGCTGGGCGCAGTCTGAGAGATCAAGCTCCAAAAGATCGGGGCAACGGTTGATAAGCTTATCCAGGCCTGCAAAAAATAAACCAACCATCAATTAACAGTTCGAATAAAACACCCTCAATACACTTACCATCATCGGTCATCGACGTCCGGCAACCGGCAATATTCAACCGCAGCAGACTCGGCGTCACGTGTGTCACCAGGCTATCGACCGAGGAGCGGGACAGTTGCGTCCAAGAGATGTTCAAGCTGTGCAGCTTGGTCAGCCTTTTCATCATCAGTGTCACGTTGTAGGAATCCAGTCCCTCGCACATGGTTAGATTCAGTGCTTCGAGGTTTACGTTGCTGGCAATCTCTCGGCAACATTCCGTATTTACAGGTACATTCTCCAGGCTCAGTTTCCGGAGCGATCGGCACCGGGACAGCAACTCAAACAGCGTCCCATGATCGATGGAACACATACTTAGATCCATAAACGACAGCTTCGTCTCGAAACTGTGATCTACGCTTCCCGGTTGGAACACCGGGTGGGAAACGTGGGCCTGTGCCAGTCTTAAAATTACAGTCCCTCTGGAAATCACCCGCCCAAGTGCTCCGTCTCGTAACGATCTACAGGACAGATCCAACCGAGTCCAGAGGGTTTCGTCCAGCGAAACCCGATTAAATCGCTTGGAGACTTGGCTGCATCGGATCAGTGCTTTCTTCGGCAAACAGCGGAATATGTGTAGAAGCATCTCATCCGACAACTTACCGAAGTGGTCCTCTCCAAAGAACATCTTTGTATTTCGCTTCCGATACAGGAAAAACCTCTCCTCATTAACGAGGCTCATGAACTTCCGCAAGCTGGCATCATTTGAAACATTCTGAACAGTTCCCGCCGGCGGTAAGTTGTTGCTGGCTTGAGCGTGATTTGAAACGTTTGCCAAGGGGCTCCGTCCCTTGTGGCCGCTGCTGTTGGACATCGTCGTGGCACTTGATGGATGGCTTGCTTTCCGTTGCTTCTTTTGGCACTCGTACTCTTCTTCGCTGAGCACTCCTAGACCCAGCGGCGATAGACAATCTTCCGTTCCGAAACTACGCTTCAGCAAACGAACATGGTGCTGGTTGCGAATGTCGAATCGGAGAAGCTTGCTGCGGGGGAGGAAAATGCGAAAATATTTGATGAACAACTACTGTTAACAAAAAATTTATAGCGCACGATTCGTAAGATTTTTGAGAAAGAAGTGAAATTGGACTGTCAGGATCAGGTATCGATCGCGGGTAAAATGAAAACAAATGGCGCCGAGAAATATGTGTTTGACGTCTTCTCTATGCATGACATTCGCAAAACACTCACTCGACCCATAACGCCAACGGGTTGAATCCGCGTAACGCATGACACGGCGTCTCAGAGAAGGGAACAAAATAAAAAAGTGAGAGTTTAAAATGTTCACTTATTTTTCCAATAATGTTTTACCATCAGTTCAAGCACCTTATATAGAACTGCTATAATAAAAATTTATATGGTTATTTTGCTTAACGACATGTTCGGGTTATCATCCAAACCATTTGTGGGATAGTTTCATGTTGAAGCGTAAACTGAATCCTCGACTGAATCAATCAAAGCAAGCCTTCCCTAATACGCTAATACAGCCAACTTTCGCTCGTTGGGCTAAACCCATAACCCACTTACTGAAAGGCTTTCATTAGCTGGACTGAGCTGTCAAGCTGAAAATATGTTGAGGGAGATATCTCTGCCAAGAAGGAGGGTTGCTGATGCCACCACCATCGGTGGTGTAGCCTACAGTTTTTATGCTATGTATATATGTACGTATGTGTTAAAAAATCTTGAACTTGTTTTTTTTTTCATGATTATTTAAAAATTAATATATTTAATATTTAATTCCTACATATACGTGCTTGTTGAACATTTATCACGATTATTTTGCCGCACAACAAATTAAACATCTATGTGGACGGAGCATAATTTCTCAATGTTTGCATCAGCTGTCTTAGATTGGCAGATAATCGAGCCAAAGAACCAACAACTTGGCGTTTCTGTCACCGGAGAGGATATATCCCGCATAAATCACAACTTTACGATTACCACATTGAAAATGGTTTATCTTCCTATAAAAAACCATAATGAGAATGGTTCAGTCAACTTTAAGGGGGATTTCCGGTTCAATTGACCTAAACTTTGGATTTTTTTTCCAGGGAACTGGTAAGAGTTAGAGACCTGAGTTTTTTGTCAAATCTTTATTCATTCTTGATCTACAACTGGGAATTTTTTCAAGTCCAAAAATCCAAAATAGCGTCCAATATGGCGGCTGCCCGGCGGGTACTACCCAAAACTGCGAGCAGCCTAGAGGTCGCAAATCGTCACCTAGAAAGAAAATCGGCTCAGTTTCTTGAAGAGTATAGTTCAGAGAATAGAATGAACTAGAATCTTTGAAAAATCTCAAAATTTGACAAAATGGCGGGCATTTGAAAAAAAGTCATTTACCTAGTTAAATTGTTTCTATTTTCAATGAAATACAAAATTCTTTCAAAATTTCCATTAAATAAGGTCTCAGGAGTGCTGCTATTGACTGAACAAGGTATTGCTAGCGTTCCTGTTAAAAAACAAACGTTTTGTAGCCAATCAATATTATACGATTTTTGCATGCCGTGGTGTTACACAGTCGACCGTACGCATTTGAGTTGTTTAAAATGTATTATAATGAGTAATATCTTACGGAAAGCGTAGATATCATTTTATAGACCACCCACAACCGTTTTACATTGAATATTTGCAAAATTTGCACTATTATTAGAAAAAAAAGTAAAAGGGTCTGTGTCTAGGGCACGAACGGAAGCATGACGTAGGACCGCTAATGGACGGAACAAATATGTTAAGCCTTTAGTTCTTTTAATTGATCGTTAATCTTAACTCTTTCCGTTTATGAATTGTTGGCCCTGAAAAGGGCCGATTGTTTTTAGAATGGTGGCCCTGAAAAGGACCGTTATTTGTTTTTTTTTTCTCTGGTGTCCTTTTGATCGTTTGCGATGGCTACCGTGTAGCTGATGAAAAAAAGTGATTATTGATACCTGTAATTTTAAAAATTTGTTTATGACATTAAATTCTGAATGATGATATTACTACTTACCTACACAGATAAAAATTCTGAATTTTAATCGTGATGCAAACATTCATTCACGTAAACTTGTATTTCATTTCACGTAACCGAGCAACTTGTAAACAATGTTGTTTAAAACAATGGGCTTTTGTATACAATATTTGCTACATTGCATGAAATGTCTCAGAACTTTACATGATATAAAATGTAGGCTTATATGATATGTGACGCTCCATTTATGTGCATCAAATTGAACAGAAATTTACACTACTTTTTCGAACTGTGTAGTTGTAAATAGTAGTTATAAGTAGTCTCCTTTTTCAAATTTAAAATAGACCAATCCCACATACTTAAAACAGGCCTTATAGGACTAGGAACTGTAATTAATAATAATTGAAATTTCAAAGGAACTAAAGTTGAAAAGACGCATCTGTGTCACTTGATAAGTTATACATGTAAACCACACAAATTCAAGAAATTTAGATCATCATTTAAAGTAAAGTAAAAGTGAACGTGATCAGTTGCAATTCCATTAGCAGTGGGGACAGTCGTCACAACTAATTTGAAAGACCCAGAAAGTCGACGCGGACATCGGAATGAGAAGACTTAATTACCAACGGCAATGACATCCTTCGAACTTAACACAGCTGAGTTTGACAAATGATCACCTGCTCAATGCTGCTTCCAGGAAAGCCAACTGAGCACGCTGTCTCTGGAGAAACCGAAGTACACCAGTTTGTTCGCTTCGATCCACAAATTTGGTAGCTCCCTGAAGGACGCGGACAGGCTCTCTGAGTAGCTTCACCATCTTTGGGACGTTCCACTGCAGTCGTTTCGTTAGGCTGACCACAGCATTAATCACCTGCAAAATTTCAACCGCTGTGCAACGGTGTAAGCACGCCATCCCGAAAGTACCAGCATGTAAATCTCTTGGATCCCAAATGGCCTTTTTCAGGGCCACTATATTTCTACGCTATAGAATTCTAGATCTCTAGATGGTGGGTAAAACAGGTTCACAAAATTGAAATATTTTTGAACCATGGATAGAAATAACAGCAAAGAATCATCAATCAGTGCCAATAGCAGTGTTCAGAAAATCACTAACAGCTTTGGGTCATTTGTTCTCCGTAAATCATCCAGCTCCAAACCTTCCCGCAGACGTCAATTGATAGCACGTTAATGTTTATGGCCAACAACCAACAAATAAACGGCCCTTTTTAGGGCCACCAATTCAAATACAGAAGGAGTTAAAATAATAGATTTTCGAATAATTAAAAGAACTAAGAGCAAACACATTTATTCCGACCACTCACTTGCGCTACATATTCCAGAGCTTAGATGTAAAGTATTCATCACCTTTTTCTCTTATAACCGGTTTATACTTACTGATATACACAGATAAAAATTCTGAATTTTAATATTGATGTAAACATTCATTCACGTAAAATTGTATTCATTTCACGCAACCGAGCAACTTGTAAACAATGTTGTTTACAACAATGGGCTTTTGTATACAATATTTGCTACATTGCATGAAATGTCTCAGAACTTTACATTATATATAATGTAAACTTATATAACGCTCCTTTTATGTGCATCATACTGAACAGAAATTTACACTACTTTTTCGAACTGTGAATTTTCTTGATGACATTGTCAATGTGAGAGTTGAACTTAAGTTTGTCGTCAATAATCATGCCAGGATATTTATTATTTAAAAAAAAAAAGTAGAAGGGTCTGTGTCTAGGGTCATGAACGGAAGCTTGACGTAGGACCGCTAGTGGACGGTATAAATGTAAAGAGCATTTAGTTCTTTTAATTGATCAATTATCTATTATCTCAACTCTTTCCGTTTTTGAATTGTAGGCGTACCAGATTTGTAGTAATCTTTTTCAAAGAAATTCAATCAAAATCACTTGCACCCCTGCTTCCAAATTGCTTACAAGCTTACAACTCTGGAGAGCATTTTGTGTGGTCGTTGGGGGCTTGAGGTTCTGAATATGGACAAACAAGCACAGATAAATTCTATTCCAACTCTTTACTGATGTAAGCTTGATGGCCCTGAATAGGGCCGGTTTATTGAAGAGGACATCCATGGCCACTTACGCTTAGCGTGTTTAGTGTAGGTGACAGCATCACGGACCTCATTTTCCAGGAACACCTTCAGCACACCTCGTAGATCAGACCGGAGACACGTTTGACACCACCACGGCGAGCCAGACGTCCAATGGCGGTTATCTCGAAGAACTTTGCGATGACGCTTGGTGCCTCCTTTACCAGACCTTTTCCTCCTTTGCCACGACCAGTCAATTGTTGCTTGTTAGGTGTGAAGGAGTGGACTAGCCACCACCTTCCTACTGCTGCTTTTGCTGTTCACAACGCCGTCCGAAGCGAAAATGAGCTATTGCTTGTCTTGTCTTGTCTTTGTTTTAACGGGACTTTAACCGTAAACGGTCATTCGTCCCTGTTTGCTTCAATTAAATTTGGTCATACAATCCGGTTGCTTTCAAGAACTCCAGCAGCTTCTGTTCAGTGGGTGGTGATAAAACTTCCTCTATGGTTGTATCTAGATTATAAGTCAAACGTTCGGTACTGTAGGCTCTACAATCTAACAAAAGGTGCGATGGACAGTGGGACACCGCATGCACAGACAAACAGACGTAACTCTTAGAAAAACTTGTTCTTGAAAACATAGTATCTCAAAACATATAACCTCAGTAACGACATCTCTCTGGCTTCTCGCGGAAAACAAGCTTGCTCGCTAACTCGTAAACAATATTACATAAAAGTTCTATAGAATATATAGAAACGTCAAAGTGATCCGATGCCAGCGCTGCGGCGAGTAGTTCGCGGAACTGATAATATTCAAATCAACCGTTAAATGCATGAACGAAGATACACAATCTGTTTGTCTGTGCCGCATGTGTGAGCTATTGCCATACAGCAGCGCTCTTTTATATCATTTCAGGTTAAAGCAGAATGATGTGCAACCAAGTGGTATAAAAGCTACAAAGACTCCTCCCATTATGAGTAGTTTGCTATCAAGTAGCGACACTGGCTCTTTTCCTTTTGTGTACACGACGAATGAGAACGACCCAAATTTGAGTTTAGTTCACTCATAATCGCTAAAAGTGCAGGAACTCAGCGATGAGTAAATTTGTCTAAAAAATATGCCAGTCTCGGAGTAGTACCAATAGACTGAGTGAATCCAATCTTTACTTTTCTCAAATTCTGGATTTTTTCCCAGAAAAATCCTCGAAAAACCTGGCAAAACATGAGGCAAATTTACTCATCGCTGAGTTCCTGCAGTTTATTTCTTATTTCTGAGATAACTAAACTCAAATTTTGGTCGATCTCATTCGCCGTGATATCACCTTGAAAGAGATCGGCGCCGGTGGTTAGCGTGATTACCTCTTACCCCAGCAGGCCTGGGTCCAATCTCAGTCGGCGCCACCGGCATGTTCTAAGGCATAACATCTCTGATCACGCCTTCCTTCGGGAAGTAAAGCCGTTGGTCCCCGGTTGAGTTGATGGGTCGATTGGTATGGCCCAGGTGTGGGAGCTGCCTCCCTGGCGTCGGTAGCATTGGTGCTCAGCACGGAAAACAAATTTCGCGTCACTTTTCAATCGACACTCTCACACTCTCTTTCGTAAAAACCCCGGCTTCAGAAATGTTTCCTGCCGTCTTCGTCGAATTAGATGCTAGATTGTTGCTTCTTCCATCGAAAATATCCGGCCGTGGTGATTCAAAGTTGATCAAGGTTGATCAAAATAATGTGTACCTCTGCTTCCAGTTTGATTACATGAGCATTTTTTGTGATCGTTGGTTCTGAATATGGACAAACAGGCAGATGAATTCTATTCCTACTCTTTACTGTAATAAGCTTGGTGGCCCTGAAAAGAGCCGTTTTGTTGCCAAAGTTGGTGATGATTTAACCTCCGAAACCAAACAGAGTGCGTCTCTGTCACTTCAAAACGTAGATGACATCCATGGCCGCTTACGCTTGGCGTGTTTAGTGTAGGTGACTGCATTACGGATCTCATTTTTCAGGAACACCTTCAGCACACCTCGTAAATCAGACCGGAGATACGTCAGACACCGCCACGGCGAGCCAGACGACGGATGGTGGTTATCTCGAAGAATTTGCGTTTGGTTCTGAATATGGCGATGAGTGTGCAAAAAATATTACACAATTCCATCCTTCCTATTCGCACGCGCCCGATTATCGGAGGTGAATACCACTTCGACTTGTTTCGTCTACTTACTACTCTCTGAAGACTGTGCTGAGGAAGCAGCGATTCTGTGACACTACCCCGAACGCCATAACCCCGAACGCCGTTACCCCGAATAGTACACTACCCCGAATGGCCATTACCCCGAATGGCGACTACCCCGAAATTAAGACAAATAGAAGAACAGCAAGGGATACATTTTTGAGAAGGAAAATTTCTTTTCTAATTAACCACTTCATTCGAGCACTTAAAATGACGTTTACTACCACTCGAACTTTGAAATAAAACATTATTTTGAGATTTTTTCTTCTAGAACCTCGAGAAAAGTAGCCAACATTTGTGCGTTTTATAATTAAAAATAGAAATTAGTTGGTCCAGTTTTGTGAAATCGCTGGTAGAAAGTCACGCCAAAACTGCTTGACAAAGTGGTCAATTTATACTGAATACAAATGATAGGATTCTATAACATTCCCCAGAAAACCATTCCCCCGAAAACCATTCCCCAGAATCTCATTCCCCAGAATGCACCATTCCCCAGAAAAGCATTTCCCAGAATGTACCATTCCCCAGAAAAGTATGCCATGTATTAGATTGACTATTTTTGTTTATTATAGTCATTCCTGGAATATTCTTTCGCGTATATAAAAAGAAAAGAAAAACTTATTAGGATATGTTTATAAATTACGTAGACAGTTTAGGGAAGGGGGGGGGGGAGCTGGGTTTTGGCAATTGTGCACGGTCCATACAAATTTAAAAATTTTTGTATGGAAAATTGTCTGCGCAGAATCCCAAAAAAAAACTGTCTACGTAGTTAATGAACAGCCCCTTAATGGCTCAAGGGGGTTTCCCATCTTTGAAAATATAACAATAGGAAATAATTAATTCTTTTGATATACGATAAAGAAGGGAATATTCCCTTCTTTTAATATATAAAAGAGAAAATAATCAATTCGTTAAATATATGATAAAGAAGGGAATATTCCCTTCTTTGAAAATATAACAAAAGGAAATAATTAATTATTGGATGAACGATAAAGAAGGGAATATTCCTTTCTTTGAATATATAAAAAGAAAATAATTTATTCTTTAGATGTATGATAAAGAAGGGAAGGGAATATTCCCTTCTTTTAATATATAAGGAAAATATGTAATCAATAGCTTTTGGCAAGGGATTCGGGGTAATGACCATTTGGGATAATAACGTGTGGAATAATGTTATAAATTTGTAATCGATAGTTCAACGTTCCATGCACCGATTTTTCAATCCATAACGAGAAATTCTTCAACCCAGGTCTAGACTCAGGTCGAACAATTCTTTGATAAGGTTTAACAATTTTCGACTGGTATTGCATATTGAATTGGATTGCACATTAGACCCTTTGACTTTTTAAATGGTGAACGAAGTGCTCAAAAACTTGAAGGTTGTCATTTTCTAAAGAGCTTTAAAATGGTTTGGAATTGATAAATACATAGTTCCATAAAAGTAAACGTAGTGTATCATCAATTTAGTAAAGTGAAACTAATCAGAGAGTTTAATCACAGACAACAGACATAACACTTTGAAAAAGTTTTTCTTGAAAACATAGTATCTCAAAACATAGGACCTCAGTAACGACATCTCTCGGGCTTCTCGCGTAAAACAAGCTTGCTCGCTTGCAAGCTTCAAAATTCCAATAAAAAATTATCATTTGTATTCAGTATAAATTCCAAAACGAAATTTCTTTCTAAAAATGTACCCTTCTTTTGACCCCTTGCTGTTCTTTCATTTGTCTTAATTTCGGGGTAGTAGGGCATTCGGGGTAGTAGGACATTCAGGGTAGTGGCATTCGGGGTAATGGCGTTCGGGGTTATGGCGTTCGGGGTAGTGACATTCGGGGTAGTGTCACAGAATCGGAAGCAGCATATGCATGTAGATAATTGGTGGATTTGTTTGTTAATTCGACGCTTTTGGACAACGCTGGACATTTACCAGTTTTTCAATAGTTTCTTGTTGAAAATCAACATTCAAAAGCATTGTTATCGATGCGTAGCCATATTTCTGATCGATTGGTGATAAAATTATTGAAATTGGACCAGGGGCAGCTGAGTTATTAACGTTCAAAATCTTTCTTAATTTGTTACATGTTCCATTTTCGGTTTTCATAAAGTGTACCTCCACATAGAAATCAAAGACGTAGTCCTACGTCAAAAAAAAAACAGGTCGTATGTACAGTTTCTGTCAAATGTGTTACATACGACGATTGACACCTCCATAGAAGTTAGGTGTCGTATGTAACAATAAACTATGTTTTGATGAGTTGGCACATACGACAAATAGTTTTTTAATGAAAAAAAGAGGTAGCGGGCCCAAATTTTGCCTTAGGAAGAGTGAGCAGAGCAGTGTCTGGTAGCATTAAAATGTAAATTTGTTTACGTTTGTTACATACGACCTATTGAAAAAGCACTTCAGCTATGTTATTATTGTGTATACACATTATACATTTATTAACAGAGGGAAATATACAAAATAATTATTCTTAAATTACGACTCCCATTCACCTAAGTATTTTGATGGTGTCCTACTATTTTCAGTAAACATTGGATTCATTTCATACATAATTTTGTTTAAATTACGATAATTCAAAGTATATTAAACACATTTTCGTGGTATGGCGCAATCCGCAAAAAAATAATTCCGCCAAATCTTCGACCGCGAAATGGGTTTCGATACAATGGTGTATGTACAACCATCTAAACTATATAACTATCTTACCTTTTATAAAGTGTTTTCTCTAAAGTCCCAGCTTCCACATGTTCACACTTTCCTTTGGAATCCATCGAATCAAGCACTTGCAGTTAGCATTCACCAACATTCAATCTCTACTTAACCACCGAAAACTTCTCTCGATTCCGTCATCCTTGCGATTCAACGTCACACTTGTTTGTTTTAGTCTCAAATCGTTTCGCGCACCGCACTTCATTTGCATAGACATTCATTTTTTTTTTTCTTAACGCGCAATAATGAAACACCATTATAACAACGCAACAAACTTTCTTCTCTCACGTATTCACGACGACGCTTTCTCCCCTCCATCCGGTTTATTGGAGGGGGCACTCTTCCCGTACACTACCACCATCGGTTTGTCCCTCAGTATGAGCCCGTTGGTGAGTCGCAAAGCACGTGCGATCGGTTTCTCTGGCAGCCGGTCCAGATCTTCCTCGTAGATGTAAGAAAACGTCACGAATGCCTGTCCCTTCATGCGGCCACTCTGCATCAGTTTGATGTCAATCTCTCGGTTCGGATCTGTCGTGATGGCGAACCGGTGGAAAATTCGTTTCAGGTCGTCCTCGGTGACCGTTTTGGCAAGGTTTTTCAGATAGAGCTTGTTGGATGGCGTGGCGGGGATGTAGTTTTTGAAAACGGGCAGCTCGCTGAGCTGGTCCGCTGGAATGCGATTGGCTAGGAGATCGATTTCGGTGGTTGGTGGGACGTTTGTTGGGGGTGGTGTGGATGGTCTTTGCAATGGCGGAGGAGTTTGTCGAGTGGTTTTCAGCTCTTCCGGAATGTGAAGGATAATGTTTTGGCTGGGTTTTGTTCTGGGTTGGAGGGGACCCTTCGAAGGTTTCGATTCATTTTTAGGAGCGTTGACAATTTGCGGCAGAATGTACGGTTTGAATCGATTTTTGTCCAGGCCAAATTTTCGTTTAACTGGAAGCACTTCCTCATCTGATTCCAGTTCAGATTCACCTTCAGCTAGGAGGGATTCTTTGATCCAAACTATATCGGTTTGCTGGGACGCGTGTTTCTTTTCCGTTACGGAACCATTTCTCTGAAGATCTCTTGGTGTGAAGGGTGGAGGAAGGTTCATCCGATTCATCAGATGCAACACTTGGGTGTAGAATTTCGGCACGGATTCCAAAGCCACACAAATGCTGTCGATTATTTCCCGCGTCGGTCTAGGATAGCGATATTTGAGATACGGTGGAGGAGGTTGACTGAACTCTACCGGATGGACGGCGTGAAGGGCTTTGGCGAATTTGCTCAACTCTTGAGCCGATTGATTTAATCTCGATTTGTCTGATGGGATGACACATTCAACATCGACGGTTTCTACTTCCTGGGAATTGTGATACTCTACCGACAAGCGATTTTCGAGTATTTTGAGTTGATGAAGGCGCGACACAATGCACTTTGCCAGCGTTTCATCCGGGACGTTGATGATCGCCGAAATTTTCTTCCGCCGCCTCAGAAACTTTGCACTGATGATACCGAACTGCGACAGGAAGTCTCTGACATCCGATTCATTGAACGATTCCGGAAAATTACGGATGCACAATTCGAGATTTGTGTCCATTTCTAGGAGAAAATGAGAAAGCCGGTCGACTAGTGTGTTTACAAAAATCAGCTGATTTGGTTGATTCTGGCCGCAGGCGTTACGTTGTTGTGAGTGTGACAGTTCTCATTGTCAAATTATCAAGCTTTGTTATGATTGGTTCATTCGTTTGCAGTCACTTGCTTCCAGCGCTGCCATTTATACAGATTTATCTGTATTATACAGATTTTTTAATCTTAATACAGACCCGATACAGAATACAGATTTATCACAGATTTTTAAATTACAATACAGATTTATACAGATTATTATAAATTGTTTGAGAAAAAAAAAAATTCAAAATTGATAAAAACAAAATAACTTGCTCGATTTAATCAGCGTACCCCTAGGGGCATCCAACTCTAAACTTTATATTTCTCGTGGTGTACTTATAAATATCTGACTGATATCTTAGATACCTATAAATACTTAAAAATACTTAAGAAATACCTAGTACTAGTATGCTTACCTGGTTGCTAGGTGAATTTCTGCAGTTTGTTTATTCAATGTTGTCAGGAATTTTATGTGTTAGGCTGGTTTGTGTGCATTGCGAGCGTTAACGTATCAATGAATTAATCATTTAAAAGAAAAGATTTCCAACTTCAGCGAAAAAGAAGATTAGTATGTAAAAATAAGTCTTTCGCTTATGAATGTGTCTTTTCCTCTGACATACGAGAAAAAAAATATTTTATCCTGAAAGTGGTCCCCTATATCCCACATCCCGTTTTCTGGAGAAAATAAAGCGTATTTTAAAATTTAATATTATGTGCTCTTTATTAAAAATCACACTATGCTATTCTAATAAAAATGAACATAGAACCCCGCATACACGATATATACGCAGATAAATGTGGATTTCTCATAAGCGTCACAATATAAGATGCTCTGCGTTATCCTTATCGTGTTTCGATGGTTATGCGAAAGTATCATGCAAGATACAATATTTGTGTATTCCCTCATTAAAATTGTATGATTATTTTTCATAACGACGTGTTTGGGGTATCATCAACTATTCGTCGAATAGTTGTATGATTTGGGTTATCGTTCAGGTATTTTTTTTATTATGGATATGAACTAATTGTTTATTTCTTATTAATGACACATTGATTTATAAATATTAACTGTAATAATAGGTTTATGTGCATCCGGTGGTTGGATATGCGATGTGTATTTCTCAACATCGATTCCAATAATGCTCCCGTTGGCGTTCAACAGTGCTCCACCGTCCATAATTATAAAGATGCTTCCTTTGACTAACACTCCTCGTTTTTTTATACTTTCATGGCACTTTACTGGAATCCGTTGAAGCGAACACATCTTTGTTCTACCTGAAAATATAGTTTTAATTTTAGTTTCAACTCCGACTATGTTCAGACTATAGCTGATATCATAACAAGACGTGAAATTTTTACTGGAAATCATATGTATGACTTTTGATATCAAGTTAGCCTATATTACGTAATATCAGCTAATTTCCGAGCGTAGTATTATTATTTTTTTATATTATTTGCAGTACATGCTATAACAAATCTCCCTTTTACCTGTCTTAAACAAGAATCCATTTACGTGACAAATAATTGATCCTTCAAAGAAAATCCAATCTCCCATACTTATATCTTCTAATATACTGTTTTGTTGACGATCGCTTATTTGCTTGATAGATATTTCATCTGGGCGGTAAAATCTTCGAATTCTGTCATTGGAGCATTCATACTTGGTATTCAAAAGCATCCAAAGTATCGTAGATTTCTTGATATTGTACTCTTTTCCATTTGTACCTCGTATTTTGAAAGTGTTGCAGGATCATATGTTGGACGTGGAACTATACTTGATGCATCCTCACTAAGGCTAACTACAAACCTGTAATTGTTTGAGGATAGATAGTCTACTAATGCTTGCACCATTAGGACACCTTCTACGGAGTCAGTAGTATTAGCCGTAATATGTTTGCGCAAAACTTTATGATTTATACAGTGTTTGTTACTAGCTTGATAGTTATAGAAGCTGTTTCCTGCTTTCATTAGTTCATAAGCTTTCACGTCCTTCTCATGCTTTCTATAACGCATCCCTCTTTTGCAGAATAGTTTTGAGCGCAGTTGCAGATTTAAATCAGTTCGGATTAATGGTGAGTCTATAGATAAATCTGAAGCACTACATTCAGTCTGCCTTTCGAGTGAATCATAGAAGTGCATTCCGTGATCCACCGTGATACATTTATGAAGTTTTTCATTGATTTTCTTATCTGTGTATTAAAAAAATAAAATGCTAGCAGGATTATAATTTATTACAATTAACAGTAGGTTTGATTCATAGCTTGATGGCGGTGAAACGAAATTGTGAGATAAATTATCATTACAAAACTGATTTTAGAAAGTTAATGGAAAGGTAAAGCTTATTCAATACCTTGATCTATTATAGACTGTTGTGGATCATCGACATTTGGAATATCATCTGATAACGCCAGGTATTCTTCCTCAACGACGAGGTCTTCTTCGACGATGAAATTATCGGTTGTAGTAGCTTCGTCTAAACCGATGCTTTTAGTTTGTCTGTCAGCGGTCGGTAGTCGCCTTTTCCTTTTTTCAGCTCTCTTGGAATCCGATAATGCTGATTTTCACAATGCTTAATGAAGTTCCCCGTCATCCAACATCCTCCTACTTCTTTCGTTACCTTAAGTCGCTTCGTGTTTTGATCTGATGCACAAATTGGACACAATACTTCTCCTACTAATTTTCCACCTGTGTCGCTGAACACTTCCGCCTTCAAAAAATTCATTTTTGATACAAACGTTTGATATCGTCTATCATCGATTTCCCTGTAAAAACAAAAGGATTAAATTTATTGAAAAGGAAAACAATGTTATTGAATGATGGGAACCTCATTCACCCCATAGAAAAGTTCAAAAAAATACCATTAACTAAGTGCACCACTCTATAAATAAAACATATTGTAATCATCGAATAAACCAACAATATGGTCCGCATTGATTCCCTCCTCCGCATTGCGGGAATCATCTTTATCACTATTGAGTATCTTTTTTTTTGTCTATTAATTTATTTGATAAGGCTCAACCGAATTAACTTTACAGAGCCGAGGATTCTTGGTCACTATACAATACATCTTAAAACTATAGTCAAAAGGTACAACACAATAAACACTTTATCTTCCGCTATCCAAAAAGCCTCCTCCATCAGAACTGGAGCCGCTTCCAGTAGTTTCATTGTATGGCAAATTGTTGTACGCCAACGAGGGTCAGAGCGCGTCCATTGCAGCAATGGACGCAAAACGTGGTCAGCACTCACACACTCATCACGAAACGGTTGCTTTCCAAAGTCGACGACGCATCGACCGAAAGAACTGCTGATGAAGAACAATGAGAAGGACCACACAATGGTTGCTGCCGAGACAACAGACGATCGCGTAGCACACATCGAGAGGGGCCTGCTTTTGTCGACAGCTGAGTGAACACTGACTATTGAGTATCTAATTACGGGAGAAGGGACTCGAAGTTCAATTTGATCTTGCTCAACAGTTCGTTAGTATCAGTATTCATCCCTTCACTGGGTTCGCTCAAAAAACTGCTGCGAGTGGGCGCGGGTTGTCTTTCTTTGCCCTGATAAGCCATCTTGACATATTTTTTTTGCACCGTTTGTTGCAAACAACTGGCACAATCGCATTATGCATGATTTTTCTCCGCTGAGGAACTTGAACTTCTCGGGGCTGTCACTGAAGTCCCCATATAGTTCTTCATAGTTGACGTTGGGTCGTTTCTTGAATGACTCTGCCATTGTCCTCATATCTTCTTCCAATTCGGGTATAACTTCAGGCTTCAAAAGCTCTATGGTCAAGCTACCTGTATATGCCAGGATGTCCAACACCTTCTGCACCTTCGCAGGAACCTGACCAGAGTCTCGTTGAACTGCATCCCAAAACGGTGCCTGCAAATAACATATTAAATAAAATGAGGAACATGAGTGGTCAATTACATTATACAAAATCAACAATTTGCTAATCAACATAGTATCATAGCAATGTAAAGTGAATATACATTTTACTTACCGTACAGGTGACGAACTCTTCGGTAAACATTTTGCACAATACACTTCGAAATCATAACATTTGACATCGATATGAAAAATAATTGCACTAGCAACCGAAGTTATAATCAAGACTTACTATGATCAAAATCACATCAAGAGAAAAAGTATTTAAAAATACTCAAAAATACTTAAGAGAGATTTGAAAATACTTATTGAGTATTAGAGCAAAAGTTTAGAGTGGGATGCCCCTAGGCGTACCCCCTTCTCTCCAAAATTAATTTTTGTGCTAAAAACCATATTTTTTGCAGTGGGATCTGCTCGAGGCGTTGCTGTTTCTTTTATGCTTCTCTCACTCGCTCCAACGGAAAACGCAGTCACGCCCGTCACGGTAGTTTCGTTGTAATACTTAGGCCGTTCGCAATGCTGTTGTATTTTATAAGGACGGTTTCAATTTGAAACTAGAACAGAAACGCACCTCTCGCAATGCTGAGTTGCAGTTTCATTATTCGAGCACTATTTTGCACCAGATTTGCAACTGCTCGACTATTCTGTTTTATTTCTGAGCGAGTTTGAAACACGAATGGAACTCTGTTTCAAATTTCTTTGGATTTATTTAAAGATGTTTCGAAGAGCTTCACAAAAAAAACGGAGAGCTTCATAGAGAATAGTAAAGTTTATGGAACATGATGATTACAAACATCTTTTAGAACTGTGCGTTGCGCTGATCGTGTTGTAGTTTTATTTTTGACAGTTTCAAATTATAGAATTGTCGCGTAGTTTAAAACAATTTTGAAACTCAGCATTGCGAACGGCCTTAGCTCTCATTTTTGTTCTGTTAGCCATCAACTCCATCAAAATGAAATCAATTTGAGTTATCAGGAATAATGAAAACAACATAATTCTTGTTTTCATTTTGTTCTCACCCTCTGCTCGGGAACCTATCAAATTTCCATCGACAATTAATCATGTTATGGTGTTTTCGACAGCATTCACAACCAGAGGACCAACCGCTTTCGGATGCATATGGAGCTGGTAGTAAACGATTTGAGATTGTATGGGGATTTACAGTATTAATTGAATATTTCCAATATAAGCATGTATGTTAAATACAAGAAAAGTGCCCGAGCACATTAAAATGGTACAAATACAAGTACTCGTAAACATTTTACTTGCATTGAAAATGTATTTCGTAAGAAATTGCGGATTTTCTGATATTCTCCATACTGCAAAAATGATTTTACCAGCACTGGCGGCGCGACATCTCTCGACTTTTCGGTGTAACTATCACACAAATGATGTAATTAATTGTATTCATCTACATTAAAAATATCAAATAGTAATGAACTCGTGCACTTTTTTGCATTTAGAACTGCTTATCAGAAAGATAATGAATAGAAACTAAAATCTCCATACATTTTCAAACGGCTTCATATCACTCTTATAAATAAGTACGGACGATATCACAAATGGCGCAATTATATCTCGTATGGTTAGTACGATAGCCCGAATAGGTGGTTAAGCACTTTTTATGGTTATTTTGTATGCACTGTATTTGTAAAACAACAAAACATGATTAATTAAGAAAAAAATCGTCAATACAGAAAATACAGATTTTTTAATAGAGTGGATACAGATTTTTTATAAAACCACCTGGCAGCTCTGGTTGCTTCAGCTGTGCGGGAATCGGATTCGAAATGATGTTGATTAGGCAACGAATCGGAGTGGTCTACCGGCTGGCCGGGATCAGTGTTCGGACGTGTGCGAAAGACACCAAAAGCAGTCAACGACCAGACGAAGAAGAAGGCAAGGACGATGGTCAGCAGAAAAGTAGTTCCGAAACGAGAGTGGCACTAAGAACGCCGCTCTTCGAGCATGTCTCCACGAAGGATAAGAAAACCTACATCGAAATGGTGCGAGTGTTTGAAGGACGCAGTGTCCACCGGAGGAACCATGTCGAGTTCATCTACGCTGCGCTCAAACACATGGAGGAATTCGGGGTGCATAAGGATCTGGAAGTGTACAAATCACTCATCAACGTAATGCCCAAGGGTAAGTTCATTCCGACGAACATCTTTCAGGCGGAATTTATGCACTATCCGCGCCAGCAGCAAGTCATCATAGATCTGCTGGAACAGATGGAAGATAACGGTATAATTCCGGACTACGAGATGGAATCGATGCTGATCAACGTGTTCGGTAAAAAGGGTCACCCAGTGCGTAAGTACTGGCGAATGATGTATTGGATGCCAAAGTTCAAGAACCTGTCCCCGTGGCCATTGCCCAATCCGGTTCCGGACGATTCTCTGGAGTTGGCAAAGATGGCAGTGGAACGAATGTGCTCGGTAGATTTGTTATCACAGATCTCGTTGTTTGATACCGAGAATGTTCCGGAAGCGCTGGATCACACGTGGATCGTCAGTGGACAAAGCTCGGAACAATCGGAGCTACTAGCTCGGCATAAACAAAAACCAGTTTTCATCGAGGGGCCGTTTGTGATATGGTTGAGAACCCGATCAATCAACTATTTTCTGCTGAAGAGCGAATCGAATCCGCCACCGCCGAAGGACGATGAGGATCTGGATGGTAAGCTTTCCGAGAACTACTCCAAACGATAAATGCTGATCATTCGACATCTTTTCAGACGTACGCAACATCCGGATCCCATTTGTGGGCATCGGGATGAGTCATTCTACCGCGCCACCGAAGAACAAGGTGGCACTAAAACGATCCGTTCACGAGCAGGATGATGGGACGATTTTTGCCATTTGCTGTACGGGATCGTCGACGAAAGATTCACTCCTATCGTGGGTCCGGTTGCTGGAGAAGCACGGTAATCCGTGTCTAGGGCACTTGCCAGTACTGTTCAAGTTTACGTCCAATGTGCCCGATCAACTCAAGGTTGCCGCACCGGATGATGGTAATGCTGGTGGAGGCGACGGCATGACTGAAGAAGGGAAATTAGGATCCTAGTAGTTCGAAAGAAAATGAGCATTAGAAGTATCGTTGGTAATAAATATTATGTAAATATCTACCTAGATCAAATCTATATTTTTAAAACTAGAAAGTCTCTAGGTCATCGGTTGTTAATCTCAATCTGTCAAGTTTCGTAAACTTCTATAAATATTCATGGAATCGCATATAACAACGGGCTATTCTTAGGGTGACCTTTTGCCCTTAGTTCTCATACTTGAAGTTTATAGTATGGAATCATAAGGTAAGAATTAATATCAACCACTCCAATGCATAGATGTTAAGATTTGGCAAACATGAATGCATTATAAATTAATCCATCCAGTAACATTTCTTTCGGTCATACACAAGTTAGCAGAGGTTTGCAGCAGTTCTGCGACTGTCGGCAAAGGAAGCGAGAACGTTTCTTCTTCTCTGCTCTTACAAGCCGTCGCTCAGAGCTGTACCTCAGCCGTACGCACTCTGGACAAATTTCACATCTATGCGCTCATCATTCCATGCATGTCCGTTGTTGTTGCTTGGGTGTTCATAGATCAAATTTGGTTAATCACACCTGCCTCCTGAAGGAAGCAGAAAAGCGCAGCGATGCTGGATGGGTCATCCCTCAGGATGTCCCTGATCTCCCGTATAGGGAACGGGGTCCGTAGTACTGAGTGCATTTGCATAAGAAATGCTCCACTGTAAGTGGAACATTACATGTATCGCACTGTCATCTAAATGTGCCTCCGCCTCGCATGTTGTGGGAGACTTTGGTATGGCCAACAACAATAGCTTTCCACTAAAGAGGCTGAATTTATAAAGAAACGACATGTCAAAATAGGAACAATCGATTATCTGTTAAAATCATAGGAAAAGTTATTCCAATCGAGCAGTCAAATGGATAAGATGTCACCTTTTTATCCAATTCAGTCTCTTTACTTTCCACAACTACATAATATAATCGCTATATTTACTAAGTAGTTCACGAACTCGGGGTTAATTTATCGATCATATGGATCGTCAGCACCGTCAAGAGAGTGAAACAAATCATGCAGTTCCAAACCTCCTTTCGCCAAACAGTATGTTCTTTGCACTGTTCTTCTCATCGCTTGCAGCAACTACAACGTTAAAATTCCGCTTTCATCTTAACCATTCCTTACGTATTTCCGTTTTCGGTAGATGGCTGAATAACTGGCGCATAACATCTCGTGAAACGGTGGATAGACTGAATGAGATATTCATCAGAGTTGGATATCCTAGAACAATCACATTGGATAATGCGAAGCAGTTCATATGACGAGACTTCGAAGAGTACATGGAATCAACCTAAATCATTCTGTTCCTTGCTGGCCAGGAGAAATTAGAAAAACTCACATGAATGACCATAGAAAAAAACAATAAAATTTCTGACCAAAGCACACTACTGACATCTAGCTCTGTGTTCGCGGGAAATATTTAACTAAGCCATGCACCCGCATGCAAAAGTTATGAATTGGTTCGTGTCTGATCTATTCTTAACGAATTATTTTTATCTAGATAAAAAATCCTATGGTTTTGACAGTTCGGATCACTGCACATTTAAATCGGCCGTTTACGATTTTCGGGCATAAGTCAGAATTAAGTGTCATGTCGGTTTGTCGGTGCAAACACAGCTCATTTTAGTTGTGCATCCTTAAATGCTGAAATATGTCCAGTGCAGTATGAAATGCATTTTAGATTTTTTCGCAAATTTTCTCACACACGCGTCTCTTACCGATGATATGAGCTTACCTCTCAGTATGTTAAAACTTTCTTACTTCAAGAACGCAAGATAATGAAGCAGGATCGACTTCTATCAACGCAAGCCTAGAACTAGAAGGGAATTTTGCTGGATTTGATGATGAAGAAGGTGATGTAGTAGTGGAAAGGTATTGTTGATTTCTTAAATTAAGTTGATTTTACCTAATTTATCTACCTGAGTTGAAGAAATAATCCTGTTACTCCTCGTCGCCAGATGTGGTCCTTTGGGTTGAGAGTAAAGAGAAAATACTCCCGTACACGTCAGTCACTACGTTTATTCTGCCCATCCTATATTTCATACTTTGCAAAGCCTACTGATTTACATCTATCGACCAGTACAACTAGTATGTTGATATTTAAGAGGAAGAGGAGACAATAGGGGGCTTTTTCGAGGGGGGCGACACATCTAAATCTCAAGTTTAGATGGTCAACAAATCTCACACTAGCGAATCAATCTTCGAACAATCTTCTTTCATTTGTCGCATCTACTTGCATCGCTCATCAATTTTTTGCAGGAAATCTTCAGAATCGTCATCAATCTTCTTTCTATCTACTAAGCGTGCGTGCAGCTAGCCACAGCAAAACACAATCTTTTTTGCATCGTAGATAGAGTCGTCCCCCTCGGGCTTTTTAACCAATTTGCTGTCAAACGCGAACCAGCGTCTGATTGGTCGGTTGGAACCAAGGGGTTTGTCACTCTACACAGTGTGCCAAAATCAAACTTGGGCACACCCATTGTCATTGGTCTATCTACGGGAACAGTTGCTACTTGAGCTCGATCATACCGCTTTTTGAACTTTGACATGCAACCTTCTTGTGCCCTGTTCACCACACACAAAGCATTTTCCTTGAAACTTGAACTTTTCCTTGCTTCTTTCCGACTTCGCTGCAAACGCTGATCCTGATCCATCCGAGACACCATTGGCACATGAATTGTCTCCTCTTCCCATTCGTTTCTGCTCTTCGGCCAGCAAACGCGCCTTCACCGTGTCCAACTTCAACTAATCATCTCCCAGGTTCTCCATGGTGACAACATCGTACGTCGATGGCAAAGAAATGAACAGTTGACTTATGGCATCTAACTCTGTGACAGTAGCACCAGCTCCCTTCAACTGGCGGACTAACTCGTCAAATTTTCGGAGGTTGTCCTTTCACGGTGTTCCTTCTTCCATCTTCAGCATTGCTAAGGACCTCCGAATGTATGTTTGCGCTGCCAGGGAGTTCCACATTTCCTTCGCAGTGTTCTTGTCACGCACGTACTCCAGATGAGAATCCGCGATGTACGCAACTAGAAGAGCCTTCGCCTTTTCGTCCTTTTCTTGAAAAGCTTTCCTCTGCGCTTCGTCAGCTGGTACATCCTTCGTGATCATTTCCTTCACGCCGTGAGCCGACAACTGGGTTTCGACCCGGAACCTCCACACGTCGTATCCTTCACCAGCAAACTGGACTATTCCTACTTTCGCCGCGCTTGACATCTTCACTCCCGTCTTCTCCGTAATTCCGTAACGAACTTCTGGATTCTTCAAATCAATTAGTTTCAACTTCAGAGGCCGGACTGTAACTGGGCCCATAACCTCTGGAAGTCTGGTTTAATACTACATAAAGTTTTCAGTTATTGTTAACGGGTAAACAAGTTCTTAACTACAGAAAGCAACTGCTCCTTCGATCCAACTCTTCACATAGGTTGTTCAGTTTTTTAAGGATTTAGAAACAAAGGATTTTGTGTTCCATTTGGTGAATTTTCACTTAAATTTGACAGATGGAAAATTTTCAAATAAACCTGCTATTCCAGCAGACTTATTTCTGACAGACAAGGAATCAACTTTGACAGACGCTTTCTCGAAAATCGACCGATCAACAACAGAGGGATGTTCGAACATCTTAATTTATTTTCGAAGCGTCAAAATTAAGTGGAATTTTTTTCAAATGGAACACAGCTTTTAAGTTGGTGCTTAGCTCAAATCTCCGATTGGAGTCGGGTACGGGTTCTTGCAAATTTTTAAACGTTACTTTTGCCACACACTCGTGGGTCGCCATCCGTAAATTGAGCAACGTCAGTCTAGGCTGTTGTGATACAAACTACGTGAGCCACAAATGAATATACTTTTCTGTTGGAGATTTATTCGAAATTCATTCACACACACGTCACGTCAGGTCAGGTTCTCAGGAGAGTGGAGAATTTTGAATTCCCATAGCTCTAATCCACACACAAAAAGAGTACTGAACGGCAATTATGAAAGTACTGATAGAGGTCATTTCAGAAAGCGAAACTGATAATCGAACTTTGTCTGTCTCTCACTCTCTCATTAAAACCTAAGTTAAAAGTTAATTAATCACAGTTTTAATTTTTTTTTGTGTTGCTATTTACATAACTTTTAAGTCAGCTGTAAAAATATATAACTAGTTTTGACTTTCTGTTTGAAAAATTCTACGTTTCTTGCAACGTACCTACCAAAAAGCGTGTGTTCCCTCAATCAAACGTGTTCAATTTGGCTTTTGATTAAGTGGAAATACTTGCGTCACATTTCCGATACCTTTGCTGGTACCCTCGCGGAACAATATCCTCATGCCCGGTCGGACGTACTCCGGGTGCCGTACGAATCGGAACATCACCGATGCCGTCTGGTCAGTACGAATCCCGTCGGTCTGACCTAGGATGCCCACGATAACGGCCGTTTGGCGGATGCTACCGATGTGCATTGTCGTTTGGAAGCCTTCGTAGATACTAGTGGCATGAAATAGAACCGAAACGTTGGCCTAAAACAGATAATTTGAATAGACAACCCTTACAGGACGTAAGAACATTCACCCTCACCTGAAAGAAGTACGACCCAAAAGCGGTATCTTCCACTTCATAGTCGGGAAGAATAACCATGCCTCTGCGCAGAGGTGGCAAATCCTCGCTGGGGTAGAAAGACAGCGAAGCACTCTGCCCTGCTCGGACCACCCGGCAGGGTGCCTTATTCCGGTGGATGGTCTGTACCGTCACTGGCAAAAACGTGCCATCCATCAGAGGTCCGATGCGAACTTGGATGTTCTCGGTGAGGACTCCCTTGCACAGCAAACCACCGACCACCAAGCCGACTTCGGCTACTTTGAAAATTTCGTCAATCTGAAACTCGATCGGTTCCTGTTCGAACCGCTCCTTCTCCGAGTTGCTAATCCCCGGAGATAAGACGTAAAGGTACTTGGTCAACAGGTCCAGCCCGTTGCCTGTCACATTTGAAACACAGAAAATGGGAACAATCTGTTCATGGGTTTGATGCGCGTTCGCATTCAACACGTCATCTTCATTCGTAATCAGGTATGGCACTTTTCGATAACCAACGGCAGTAATAAGATTCTTCAGCTCATACAACACATCATCCGGCGGGACGAGGTCACACTTGGTGATGACAATCGAGAAGGACATATCCAGAGCGTGAACGATGGCAAGATGTTCCTTGGTCATGTTGCTGATTGTACTTCCGGCGCCGACCACGATCAGTGCGTGGTGCGGCGAATACCCGGATAGGGCTTGTACCGTCGTTTTCAGATAGCGCCGATGACCAGCCAGATCCATGAATGTCACCAACTTTGTCGATCGGTCGCTTATTTCCTCTGCCGTCATCATCTCATTGTACTTGTAGTTGATTACGTTACCCTGCGGAACGGAATAGAAAATACGTAAGTAAACTCCTACAGAGACTTGCTTAACTCTTACCTGTTGATCGAATCCCAGCGTTTCGTGGGAGATACAAGATGTACGTCCCGTTTGAATTTCGTGCATATGTCGGAACATATTCAAGCGCGCTCGTCCCCTACCGTTGTCGAATTCGCCCTGGGTTAGCACACCCAAGAGGGTGGACTTGCCAGCATCGGCTCCACCGAGCACAGCGACCCGCACTTCAATGTTGTGCTGATCGTCGGGGATCTTTCGGACCAGCACTTCGACCACCGATCGTCCGGCGGCGAGAGTCTTCCGCCGGAGCACCGAGGTCGAGGCGTCCAATTTGCGTGCCATTTGATTCAGTGTGTGCAGCGAGCTGCTCATGTCGGCATCGCAGAGCCCGTGCAGCTGGCCGGAATCGGAAACTCCAATCTCGTAGATGGCTTCACCGTTTCCTTCCCGTAGGCGCCACTTCATTTGCGTGACAAGATGCTCGAACCGTTGCTTGGAAGGATTTATCAGCTTCAATTTGTACTCGATATTGCCCAGCTGGGGCTCCGGTGGAAGAATATCCAAATCGAAGTCGATCATGGGCGAGCATGGTGAGTGTTGATGCTGGACGAACGGTTGATGATTCTGTAATCGGGGTGGGATCTGAACCGATCGCTTAGTGCAGCTCTTGCTCAGAATTTCCTCGTACGACAACAATATGTCATCGTCCTCGTTGTTGCTGCTGCTGCTGTTGCTATTGCCGTTGAGATCGGATTCCGACGACGAAGCCGTCGGATCGAATAGGTCAAAAAAAGAGCTCATTTGGGTGCCGTTTTTTTCTGGTGCTTGAATGGTCTGTAAGAAGAAAGGAGAAAGAGTTACAATCAGAATCAGGGGTCTACATTTTCGAAGCTCTTAAATGAACTCGAGTTTTGTTTCTTTCATGCAACGTGTCCAACGCACCATTTCTATAACGCCTAGCTAGACTATCAGCACGAAACGAAAACTGAAAAAGAAGCACGCTGAGAACGAAAGGCTGGCTGTGGATTTTCTCGTCGTTGCTTTGCTCATCACTTTCAATGAAAGTAACGTCGATTATCGAGTTGAAACGAAACCTCATTATGGCACATTCACCACTCTTTCAATTTGTTTAATATGCGTTCTGTCCTGTTTTCGTTACTTTTTAAAGATAAACCTATGTGGATGGAAGTTAAATGAAACATAGTACGTGTAATCTTCAAGTGTTTTCACGTGAGAAATGCTTTAAATATATATTTTCATTTTCCGTCATATACATCATGAAACCTCTGTTGATGTGTTTCATGAAAGACGAAACTATTAAGCCATAAAACAGTTTTACGATTTAAGCGGAGGTGAACAAATTGGCTCTCAGAGCACCTAAATTTACAGACTTTCGTTTGGTAGAATTCCTTTGATATTCACTTCAAAACGCTTTTGGAATTTTCATTGAAATTTCTAGATAATTCATTATAGGCTTCTGAAAATCCAGCACAGACCAATATCCTTGAAATGTTTCCAAGGTTCAGAATTCATTTTCCATGTTTGTTCCCGGTGTTTTCAAAATCCTTTTTAGTAACTGAATTCAAAATAGTGACCTAGCCACTAAAATATGATCTGCTGCCTGCCCTGCGACTAGCAATTTCCCAAAAGCGAATGGGCCGAAGGGATCAGTAAATGGTCATTAACTAAGACAGCAGCAGTTTTTTTTCTGGATCTTGAATTTGGAACTGCGTTCGAAGTCTTCAAAATTTGTTCATAAAATTTGGCTCAAAACTTTACAGGATTCTCAAGCATTTTCTTTAAAATCATTGCGCTTAAAGGAATTCTTCCAACATAAATTTAAGATTCTAGTCTAGTCTAGTCTAGTCTAGTCTACACATACACAGCCAGTACTTGAAAGAATCCTGGAAAATGATACATCTATCATTTTTCTTGTCATTATTAATGCCTGCTGCACATCAAGGATGTGAAACAAACAATAAAGCGGCCAGGCCTACTGTGTAGCGTTTAGTTAATTTTTGTGGAAGTGAATGTTTACCATGTCTACTTAATAAGTATAGACAGTGGTTAACATTTAATCCACAGGTAATCAAAGAGCGGGGACATACCGTACCAACCGCTCCGTATGCAGGATTTGAAAATAGGCTATATAAATCGTTGGGAGTGACAGAGCTAAGAAAGTTAATGTACACTCCTTGGTTGTCCGATCTCCTGGGATGGAACACAGGTATTTACCCCTTGTGTTCGAGCGTACAGTCCTCCCTCCGTACAAGCGTGGACGGCACCGCCAACCCACTGCCATCCCTCAATCGATCCAGCCGACCTCAGTCGAAGGACAACAGAGAGCGGTGTGCGGACGTAACCTATACGGAGGGAATGCTGTATTCGCCTAGGTTATAGCGCCCTTGCTCGCTACCATTTTCTTCTAGCGGTTGGGACCTGAGCACTAACTCTTGTCCTAGCCCTATATGGCATATGGTTATAGCGCCATTACTCGCTTTCTGAAAAGAGAAGAAGGGAAGGGAAGGAGAGGAAAAGGACTTGGGAAAAGGAAATGCGGAATTCCTTTCCTCATTAGTATTTGTATCGTCAACTTTTATGAAAACTATATAAATCATTCTTCCTTGGTCAGAGGTATTATTACGACATTTGAATAAGATTGTCTTATCATTTCCCTAATAAAAATAACCATAAAAGAGAGCTTAACGACGTGTTCGGGGTATCATCCAAACCCTATGTGGGATGGTTTACCTATCCGAGATACAGTTCGTTTATGGTATTTGTTTATTAGGGTTGTTATTCAAAATTTAATGTTATAATGATCAACATAGCTTTGGATTATCCAATATAAATCGGTAACACTGTCCTGCAACCGATGTAGGAAGCACCAAAGAATATATATAGACAAATCTCAAAAACACCGTTTTAACTGATAGTACTTTATAAACATCAAACTGTCCAATATTGGATCCTGCCAATTATAAGCACCAGAATAAATTGCAACGGACTCACCAAATTGATCCATGAACGATGTCCTGTTACAGTTATCTCCATACTCAAGGGTTGGTTGACTGGGCTCGAAAATAGGTTTTCCTATTCTTAGTATCGGACAAGCGAACCAAAAATCCTGTATGGCCAATCAGTTGATTAGTCAGATGATGAAAGCACAATTGTGGCTGAATGGATTCAGGCTGCTAATCGGAGAATCTGACCCACTTGTAAGGAACACAAAGAGCCACAAAGAACAACCAATGGTGCTAGGTTCCGAGATGATCAGTGGTTTAAGAACTCTGGGGTGGCAAATAGTTGAAGGAACACTAATTACAACTTCACAAAAGTCTAGAAAAAACGGAGCAAAAATTGACGGCTGAAAATTTTCTAAGTCCTTCCAACATAAATTTAAGATTCTACCTGAAAGTCTCTTGAAAATTTATTTAAATTTACATTTCAGAAATTATGTACAGAATACTCAAAAAAATACATGAAATTCGTCCATACAGAATTGACCCTATTTTGTCAGCCCCCATTTCGAAAATGTTTTGTAATGCTCTACGAAGGTCATGCTCTTTTTCAGTGGTCTTATTGCATCAAAGCACAGACAAACAGACGTAACACTTCATTGTGAAGATACACAATGAAGTGTTACGTCCACGCATTTAACGGTTGATTTGAATATTATCAGTTCCGCGAACTACTCGCCACGGCGCTGGCATCGGATCACTTTGTCGTTTCTATACATTCTATAGAACTTTTATGCAATATTGTTTGCGAGTTAGCGAGCAAGCTTGTTTTCCGCGAGAAGCCCGAAAGATGTCGTTACTGAGGTCCTATGTTTTGAGATACTATGTTTTCAAGAAATACTTTTTCAAAGAGTTACGTCTGTTTGTCTGTGATCAAAGTATACCTTAAACATCCATCTCGAAGATGAATGTGAACGATTTTGAATTACGGTTAAGTAAAATTATTGTCTGTGATAAAAGTCTGATGCGCGGAGGAGTTGACAAAATCGGGTCATTACTGTAGGTTATTTTTGAATTTTAAACATTGTATAAGAATTCATTGAAGCTTCCTTCTATTTTTATATAAATTTGCTTGAATTCACATGCAATTCACTTCAGACATACCAATTTTGCTCAGAATTATCTTCGGAGTTATCTTTTGAATTCAACTGAAAATTCACATGGAATTCTCCTTAAAATTATCTAGAAATTCGTTGTCACCTGTAAGAGAGCTGGTAAATATCACGGCCGTCATGGTGACAATGATAAAACAGGTCCTCTCACGCTCTTACTAACACCAGACGAAACTTTCTATCATTAGCTTTCTTGTCATTTTCCAATGATCAAGCACTGATGAGAATAATTCTTATGGGTTTTGGTATCAACATTTCTAACTGATTCAGATGAATTTAAGCAAGCAACCATATGTAATCGGTAGATTGCATATGTTATTTAGGTTTCTTCGGTACAAGTAACTATAATAGCAATAAATGTGCTAGTAATTACGATGATCACAACACCGTCACGTTCTGTCATGACAAAACATTCGATGAGATTTTGAAGAAAGTCTCTATTATCGCGTGAGATCTTTCATTGAAAATGACTTTTGCCAGCCCCGGTCTGGAAACACTGTGTAAATTTTCCCTAATACATTAGGAAGTTTAAAACTCCTTGCACAACTGTACCATAGAGGTAACTCTAAGACTAGTAGGTCCCGAAGAAACGAGCTCAACTTATTGACTGAGCTCTGGTACTATCTTCGGTCCCAAGCTAATCGATGCACCCCTCGAAACATAGGAAAATCCACGAACCCCTCATTTTATCTGTCAACTTTCATAGCGAATCAAAACAAACATAGTATAGTACTAGAATTTCGACTAGAATGTTAATCGATTTGCTTGGGACCAATAGGCTATTGATTGTTGACTGTACACTCAAAATTCGATTCCCTTGTTTTTTTCACGCATCCTGGAATTCTCTCTCTTTACAATTGCCATGGAATTTTCCACTTAAAAAAAAAAACTCTGAAGTTCAGAGTTTGAACTCATACAATTGACTCGGAGGGTCTAGTCAAACACTGTCTTAGAGGTCATCCCAAACCACGCTAGGACATTTTCTCCAAAATACCTTGGTGTTATCGCTAGAATTAATTCTAAAATTTGTTGAGATTTGTGGTGGATTTTTTTTTTCAAGTTCTTCAAAATGTATCCTGAAAATATATAGTTCAGTCACCGACAAACCGACACAGGAGCATTTCATTTGTCCACAATTCGATTTGTCTAACGGACGATCAGATCTTTCAAATAAGGCCATATATAAGGCATTGCAATATAAATTCTACGTGTGTTATTGTTTTTGCTCATGATATGACGCAATCGGATGAGTAGATGGTGGTAGTGTTTAACGTATTTTAAATATGGCGTCTTGGGCAAGAATTTGAATGTAGCTTGTATGAGCTGTCACGTCGGTTCGTCGTTGGTTCAGTCCTGAGTGGTGCACGGACTCACTCGAAATGGATGTCAAAAAAAAAAAAAAACCAACAGCACCTGTCAAAAAGAATCCAACGATCGGGACCAGTAAGAAGTATAGTCGCTATATTCATAGTTTGGCGGATAGAATTTCGATCTATCAAAATGCGGAACCAATTCAATATATTGTAGACCAACAATTGAAAAGGTACTATCAACTTTTATAAACAAACCGTTGATTATTCTTTCCTCGCCAATCGAAGGTAAATTACCAGTATCATCGTATAGGGGAAACTTTCCACATCTTAAAGATGGTGTTAGTTTATGTAGGCGAGCCTTGAGTCACGAAAAAACGGTTTCCGAGATT